TTTTATCTGGTTACGATAAGTTTTAATATTCCTAAGGCAAGCTTCCAAATGCTGTTTTTCACCCAGCGTTTTGGCATTTTTCAATGCATAATTTATTTGTTTTATCCCTTTCTGACACTCTCGTAGTCCTTTTTGAGCTACAGCCTCAATATACCTCGTAGATAGCAGACCGAGGAAACTGCCGATGTAGCGAACCAAATCTACAAAAACTGACATAATAATACACGTCTACACGACACAATAATCATTAACAGAATGAGAAGAGAGTTCAACAAAAGTGTCTTTATACTTCTTTTAGTACGCATGCGTATTCACTTCCTTACAGGATTTTATTGAATGATAGTAGCAAGAACCTTTATTTATTAAAGTTACGTATGTGTCGGTGGATTGTAAGGAAAATCTGAAACAAAATAAATTTGTTTTTAAATTTTTTTGAAAATATAAATAATTTTAATAAAATACCCAAATTTTAAATCTATCGACATCCTCAAAACGTAACAACTTTTTTGATATTTTATTCGACTAAATAATAACTTATACCCCCACCTCAAGATATACCACCATATTTAAGAATATTTTTAAAAACTAGAGTGTCAAATAAGAATCTAAACTAAAAAAAGGTAAAATATTTCTAATTCAACTCGAAAATACCCAAATTTTAATTCTATCGACATCCACAAAACTTATCAACTTTTTTGTTATTTTATTCGACTAAATAATAACTTATACCCCCACCTCAAGATATACCAACATATTTAAGAATATTTTTAAAAACTAGAGTGTCAAATAAGAATCTAAACTAAAAAAAGGTAAAATCTTTCTTATTTAACTCGAAAATACCCAAATTTTAAATCTATCGACATCCTCAAAACTTATCAACTTTTTTGGTTATGGTATTTCTTCCAATAAAATAATTATTTATACTCCCCACCTCAAGATATGCCACAATATTTTTTAAAACTAAAGTTTTTATATTCAGCTATTTAGAAGTAAAGACAGGTTTTTAAACTTACACAGTTTTCAAAATTCAAAGCGAACTAAACACAAACATAACTGAAGAGTACCAACAGTGTTGTGATATATGTATACTTTAGTAGTAGTTGAGAGTGTGTAGAAATTAAACATGCATATTTGGTAACGCCATCTGCACTTAGAAAGTAAAAACTTAAGTAGTATGAAAATGAGAGGGCACGCAAACGGAGAAAACCCCCAAGGCACGCAAACGGAGGAAACCATCTTGTGAACACCTGTTTTAACACATGTTGATCATCCGACGTGTAATTTAATATTTCGTGAGAAAATGAAGTCTTTATTATTCCCAGAGATATTAAATTACATGCCAGATGGTCAACATGTGTTAAAACAGGTGTTCACCAGATGGTTTTCTCATTTTGCCTTCTCATAGGGTTTGCACATTTTGCCTTCTCATAGGGTTTGCACATTTTCCCTTCTCATTTCCATACTACTTAAGTTTTTACTTTCTAAGTGCAGATGGCATTACCAAATATGCACGTTTAATTTTTACACACTCTCAAGTACTACTAAGGTATATATCACAACACTGTTGGTACTCTTCAGTTATGTTTGTGTTTAGTTCGCTTTGAATTTAGAAAACTGTGTAAGTTTAAAAACCTGTCTTTACTTCTAAATAGCTGAATTTAAAAACTTTAGTTTTAAAAAATATTGTGGCATATCTTGAGGAGGGGGTGTAAATATATATTTTATTGGAAAAAATACTAAAAAAGTTGATAAGTTTTGAGGATGTCGATAGATTTAAAATTTGGGTATTTTCGAGTTAAATAAGAAAGATTTTACCTTTTTTTAGTTTAGATTCTTATTTGACACTCTAGTCTTTAAAAATATTCTAAAATATGTTGGTATATCTTGAGGTGGGGGTATAAGTTATTATTTAGTCGAATAAAATAACAAAAAAGTAGATAAGTTTTGTGGATGTCGATAGGATTAAAATTTGTGTATTTTCGAGTTGAATTAGAAATATTTTACCTTTTTCTACTTTAGATCCATATTTGACACTGTTTATAAAAATATTCATAAATATGGTGGTATATCTTGAGGTTAAGTTATTATTTAGTCGAATAAAGTATCAAAAAAGTTGTTACGTTTTAAGGATGTCGATAGATTTAAAATTTGTGTATTTTCGAGTTTAATAAGAAATATTTTACCACCTTTTTCTACTTTAGATCCATATTTGACACTCTAGTTTATAAAAATATTCTTAAATATGGTGGTATATCTTGAGGTGGGGATATAAGTTATTATTTAGTCGAATAAAATATCAAAAAAGTTGTTACGTTTTGAGGATGTCGATAGATTTAAAATTTGGGTATTTTCTTAAAATTATTTATATTTTCAAAAAAATTTAAAAACAAATTTATTTTGTTTCAGATTTTCCTTACAATCCACCGACACATACGTAACTTTAATAAATTAAGGTTCTTGCTACTATCATTCAATAAAATCCTGTAAAGAAGTGAATGCGCATGCGTACTAAAAGAAGTATAAAGACACTTTTGTTGAACTCTCTTCTCATTCTGTTAATGATTATTGTGTCGTCTAGCCGTGTATTATTATGTCAGTTTTTGTAGATTTGGTTCGCTACATCGGTAGTTTCCTCGGTCTGCTATCTACGAGGTATATTGAGGCTGTAGCTCAAAAAGGACTACGAGAGTGTCAGAAAGGGATAAAACAAATAAATTATGCATTGAAAAATGCCAAAACGCTGGGTGAAAAACAGCATTTGGAAGCTTGCCTTAGAAATATTAAAACTTATCGTAACCAGATAAAAACGACACTGAAGAAAGGGGCAGGGCTTACATCACGACCTGAGGGAGCTAGAGAACGTATCCGTTGGGATGATTCCGATACTGCATTCAATAGCCGTATCCTGACGGGAGTAATATCAAATATGAATCATAAGGATCCAGAAGCTTTCCTGATTGATGCTAAGTCCCTTTTTGAACGTAGGATACAGGCGGCTTTAAAAAAAAGATGCTGCTGTTAAGGTTAATGCCGTATTTGGAGGTGAGTTTCAGATTGTAAAGGAAGACAGTGTACTTAATGAGTACAAGTACTTTACTACCTCAAATTCTTCAATCTATAGAGACACCAATCTTGATAATTGGTTTGATAAAAAGGTTAATTAACCTATTCTAAATGAACTTGAAGAGTTTCAAGAACGTGATAGTGGGTGGGCCTTAAAACGAGTTATTAATTTACGTGTAAACATAAATAAATACATTCCTCAACTTGGGTCATCGTACATCGAGCTACCTCCTCAAATTAAACGAAAAGAAGCATGTATTAATGTTAAGAACGATGATAATGCATGCTTCTCTTGGGCTGTTACATCTGCTTTGTATCCTGTAACCAAACATCCACAACGATTGAATAAATACCCCCATTACTCGACAGTCTTGAAATTGAAAGGTATTCAATTTCCAATGACCATGAAACAGATTCCTAATTTTGAAATTCAAAATAATATTTCCATAAATGTGTACATCCTACAAAAACTGAAAAAATCGTTTATTACTCTTCCTACATACCTTACTAAAGATAAAAAAGATCAGCATGTAAACCTTTTGCTTACTCAAGATAAGTATTATGAAGAGGGGGAAGAAGGGGATATACAGTATCACTTTATATGGATTGAAATTCTTTCTCGTCTTCTTTCCAAACAACTCAGTAAGGAAGAGCATGCAAAATACTTATGTGATCGTTGTCTTCATTATTTCCGTTCCGAATCAAAGTTAAACAAACATACTGAAGATTGTGAAAAATTAAATGAAACTGCTATTAAAATGCCCGAACCTGGAAAAAATATTCTTAAGTTTAAAAACTTTAAAAATAAGGAGAGAACCCCATTTATTGTATATGCAGATCTTGAAAGTGTTTTTAAACCTACGAATGATCCTAAAAAACCCCAACAGCATATTCCAGCTGCTGTTGGTTATTATCTTAAGTGCTCCTACGATAACTCTATTTCCTTTTATCGGTCATACCAAGGTGTAGATTGTATGCAATGGTTCGCTGATGAGATGGCACAACTTGCTGAAGATATGGCAAGTGTCTTTTGGTGTCCTTATGATATCCACATGACTCCTACTCAAGAAGCAGAATTCAGAAAAGCAACTCATTGTCACATATGTGAGCAACCATTCACCTTATCCCTGAATTTAACTTTAGAGGCGCCTCCCATGAGGAATGTAACATAAATTATCAAGATAGTCACACAGTTCCAGTCGTCTTTCATAATTTAAGTGGTTATGATGCTCATTTCATTATTACCGATATTGCAAACAGAATGAATGGATCCATTGATCTACTACCCATCACCAGATGGTTTGCACATTTTGTCTTGTCATTTAACCCCCTGATTTAGACAAAAATTGCCAGAATGAACCTTGGCGATTTCTCATGTTAATTTGCATAAGGATTGGGCCTGAACCGGTGCTGCTATATTTCTTTTATTTATGTTTTTATTTTATTGTAATATTGCAAAATATAATTATTGTCCTCAAATTTCACACAAAAACAGCCACAACTATTTCGCTTAGTTCATCTAGAGGATAACACAATCATGAACTCAGAATTTAAAATTTAAATTCAGGATTCATCTGAAAGACGATATACGGTTTAAATCCAAACTAACACCACCACTTCAAAAAACTTATCTATTTCAGGGATCTTTATTACGTTTCTTGGCTTTTTAATAGGTTACATATCTCAGTTTTAACAATATTAGGTTAAAAATTATATAAAACGAGATTTATTGAATGTTGCACTCTCCATTGTTAAATAATTTATAAATTTTTAAATTTTGTGTTTTGATAAATATTGTCAAAATTTTATCGTTAAACGTTAGTCGGCTAAGTCCCATGGTAACACAGTATATATTCCAGCCGTCACACGCAAAACAATTAATTCACCCAGGCCTAATCCTTAAATATTAAAAATATTTCTACTTTGTACTGTTTCAGGTTTGCGTAGGTGGTTACGGAAAAGCTAGCAAAGCTCCATTCCTTAAACTGAGTGGCGAAGCTGACTATTTATGTGCTTATCATGTTGTTTTAGCACACGCTGCTGTCTACAATTTGTATAAAAAATCGTTTTCGAAATCCGAAGGTAAAAATATTTTAATTACTCTCCCATACCTGTTACCTATTTATTATTTTTAGCCATAATTAGTATGGCGTTGGATGGTGCATGGAATATACCAGCAAGTAAATCCAAAGCTGATGCAGATGCTGCAGAAAGAAGACGTCTATTTGATGTGAGTATTTTTGAAAATTAATTATCTTTAGAAGGGAAGAAGGTCAGGATAGGTTAGGCCAGCCATGCTTAACCTTTTTTCCTTCGGGCCACATACGTATGTTTGCTATATTACACGGGCCGCAATATCTTTGAATAATGACCCTTTATTTAGGCCACCCATTTATAATTTGTTAGTGGGAACCTCTAATAAAAAAACCACATAACAAATATATCCCGTAGGGTTACTGTAAAAACAAGATAACTCACATTTTTAGAGTTTCGAAAAAACGATCTTTAAAAGTATAAAATGAAATAAAAAATCAGTAAAAGCACTGTTTAATAAACAATAATTCCAATAAAAAAAAAGAATTTAAAACAAGTCTTTACAAATATAAACTAGGAATCTATCGATTGGGAACAAAAAAAAGGAGAAAAAACGTCACAACTTATAGTTTTCTACAAAATCTTTCTCTATTCGATACGCATCGTGTCGAGTTCACACACAAGAATTCATGTGCGCTGTGCAAGTCATAATCAATGTCTGTGAATGGTTCAGTAAATGTCATTTACATTATTGGATACAAGCAGATTGTGATATTATTGGTGAAATAGTCCCAAAATATATTGAATTTCGAAAAATATCAAAAAGTGTTTATTTTACGGAAAACAAACGTTTTGAATTTAAATTTAAAAAAATGACGCTAAATAGGGTTAAAATAACTGAAATCTATTATAAAAGAGGCGAAAAAAACAAGATAGACCAAAACAAGTCCAAAAATATTTTGTATTTCGAAAAATCTCAAAAAATGTTTATTTTACGGAAAACTAACGTTAAAATTTGAATTTTTAAGTAATGACGTTAAATAGTAAATCTTTTTCTTGGCATTACTTACATTTTTTTTTACTTACAGTATTTTCAGAGCATTTTTTCACCCTTTTAGGCATTCCTCTGTCGATTTGACTTGGGTTTTTCAAGCAATGCTAAAAGCTGGTTTTTCGATGATTTAAGAAGTGCTTCTGGTCGTTTTAACGTGCTAACAATATGGAGACGCGCGTTAGCATTCCCACTCGTTACGGTCTTACTACTCTACAGCTTAACCAATTAATCATTTACCATGGCTATTCGGGCATCACGTGTTATCATCCATTGATTTCTGAAGGTTAGCTGTATCGTAAAAAGAAAGGGTGACGTAATCACCTTGTCGATTTCGGACCAATCGAAAGAGGCCAGAGACGGCTCTAGGCAAAACAAATGGCTGGGACAAAATGTTGGAAGTATTTTAACAAATATTTTCATAAAAATAAGTGTTCTGGCCTTTATCTTGTTTTGACAGACACACTATTAGGAATCGGACTAAACACATTTAGCGAAAATAAGTTACATGTACCTTATCTGGTTTTGGTAGACACACTATTAGCAATTGAACACAATGATGTGATCATCTTGTTTGTGTATATGTATTAATGTATTAATATGGAGTTAGTTTTTGTTGACCATCTGTTTATCATGAATATAGACTTCGTTCATTCTTGTCTTATTTAAGCCGGATATTATTTTGGAGACGAAAGTGTACTTAACTCGAAAATGCAGTAACCCCATGATCCAAACGTTTATTTAAAAATTAGCATGATATTTAGCACAACGACCGATTAATGTTTTCGTGAGTTTTGCTTAAGATTTTAAAACCAAACCAATATTTTTCAAAAATTCCTTAATAATAATGTTTCGGGCCGCAAAAAAAGCTTGGAGGGCCCCATGCGGCCCGCGGGCCGCAGGTTGAGTATGGCTGGGTTAGGCAGTACCAGAAGGAAGATGACAAGTGTTATTAATAATAACGACATTGAAATCTTAAACAAAAACAAAGACCTTGTAGGTACATCAGAAGCCCTAACAGAGTTGGGTAGTCGAAAAAAATTTTTAGCTGGAGAAAATTTTTAATTTTTCCTATATGTATGATTTTTGTAGAATTAACTAGATATAATCAAGTGTAATTTATTATCAATAACAACTTCTAAATTTTTACATCTGTGAACAACATCCAAATAAGATACATTTTCAATTTTTATATCCAACTCTGTAGAGATAATAATGGCAACCAAATAAAATTACATTCGATTTTAAACTATGGATAATTTTTAAATCCAGTTTTCTAGAAAAAGCTATTAGAATGTCTATTTTCATAAAACAATTGTCAGTTTCTAGTTCTTGATACAAAATTAAAGTAAAATAAAGCAAGCAGCACCGTACAATTTATTAAACCATTTAACAACTTATGTAGGAATAGTAAATCCCCCTTCGTTTTTCAAGAGAGTAAATATTAGTAATTCCAGAAATTTGACGATAGTTAGTAACTAGCCAGTATCGACTACGGTAGCGTAGGTGTCTACGGCACCGCACTCGTTTGCAAGCCAATTTTGTGGTAAACCAAACAACAGTGTCGAATCCTACGGAAAACCATGTGAATTTATTTTCATGGTTCTGTTGATATGACATCCAGATTATTAAAAATCGCCATGCGTTACCGTTTTCGATGATGGTGGGTGGAGTTTTCCGAGTTTTCCTTACCTGTAAGACAAATGGCACCATCAATCATTTTTAAGTCGCCATGGAACGCCACGGCAAATAATAATATCGGTCCCTTTCCCGGACATCCTCTGATTTTTGGGTTAAAATTCACTCGTAAATCGTAAATCACATAAATTTGTCTACGTACAAAAATTTTTCATATAAGACTTAAATCTTTATCCAAAATTGTTTAAACTTAAAATTAACGCAAAGGATACAATAATTTAAAAAAACAATACAAGAAAAGGGTAACATAAAAATCCAATTTAAAATAAACAAAAAAATACATTATAAAAGTATCAAAATTGGTATTTATAAATAAAAAAGCAAAAAATTAGTAGGTGGAATGTCTATTTACAAAGAAATATATGAAACTGAAGTTATGCATGTGCTACATATTTTTAAATGACAACATATATATCACCAAATTGAAATAATGTTATTTTTATACTTCTTCTAATGCATTTTGGCTTTTGTAATTTTTGATCTCTTAAATATGTTAGAAGCGAATATTGACAGATATTCTAAATTGCAACCTTCTTCTACTTCGCTTAATTAATATAACTGTTGTTCCAGAACTACCTGCTCATTAATAAAACTTCAGCATGTTTTTAAAGTTTTTGGAATTTTAATATTTTAATAATCTCCAAAATAAATGTGCCGTAAATATTTTCTAAAAAAGGGTATTTTTGTATTTACTTATTCTGTATCTGTAACTGTGGAGGGTGGGTTATCCCCACGTCACTTAGGCCTCACTAGACCCATTGTGTATCCTCCTAAGATATAGGCACCTCCTAGCTCGTGAGCCAGCCTACAGATTTGATATAGTTGACAACGTCGCCAGGAGGTGCTTCTCTTATTTCGGTCGGTGTTAGTTAATACTCGCCGAACAAAAATCTTCTAATAAATGAGAGTGTCGAGCAATCGTAGAGGATATGCTCGATTGTCTCATCTTCTTGCTGGCACCCTCTGCAGAGTGCGGATTCTGACAGGCCCATGATATGGAGATGTTTCCGTACTTGACAATGACCAGTTAGAATGCCTGTGACTAGGCGCAGATTCTGTCTAGTCATAGTCAAGTATTTGTTTGCTGCAGTGTTGTCAGGATAACTTAAGAGCTCCCTGGTAACGCTGCAGTTTCTTGTTTCATCTAATTTTGCCTTGAATTTCACGAGGAAATGTTCTTTAATTAGGTCTGTCACTACCGATTTTGTCAGGCCAATGGAAGGGCCAGGTCCAAAAAGTATTTGTTTGGCTGCTTTCTTGGCCAGTGAATCAGCAAGACGGTTACCTTTCGATGTGGCGTGACCTTTGATCCATCTTAAGGTGATCACGTTGTATGATGGATACTTCTGCCAAAACTTCGTGACATTCTAGTACTAACCCTGAATAAATTCGTGGTCTATTCAGGGTGAATAGTGCTTGTCTGCTATCTGTAGAGATAAGCATGTTCCTTCCAGTGATATTGTTTCTAGTGATTTCTTTTGCTACTATGAGAATCCCCGTGAGCTCTGTTTGAACTACACTGGCACTATTGCTCACAGCCCATTTTATGTTAAGGTTTAAGGATCTGGAGTATATTCCATCCTGAGCCTTGTTTTGTTTTAAAACCGTCGGTGTAGATATGAATCGTTCCTGACACTTCCGGCTCTTCTATTTGTTTTGTTATAACTTTATATGGCTTATGGAAGATAAATCTCGGTGAGATGGAGTCCATGTTCGCTTGAAGCAGTGGAAGCGTATCAAGCGCCTCCTGCTAAAAGCTACGTCACCAGATCCTACATCAGTAGGTACTATTTTAACCGTGCTGAGGCATGTCATTGTCGTCAGAGCAACCTCCTTGATGTAAATATCAAGGGAAGTAAGACTAAGAATGACGTCCATGGCTCTGGCTGGTGTTGTTTTCTTGGCTCCTGTTATGTTGAGACATGCTGTTCTTTGAATTTGTTCTAGTTTACGGATAGCTGTTAATTTTTGGGTTTTTGGTACCCACACAATTGCACCGTATGTTAGCATAGGGCTTATGATAGCCGTGTAGGTCCATGCGACGACTCTGGGGTAGAAACGCTGTGTGCGCCCCACGGTGCGCGGCGGCATTCTTCATGAGCACTGTATGCTCTTTTTTAAATGCGAGTTCCATGTTACCTATCAAAGGTGAGACCTAAGTACTTCACTTCTGTTGCAAAGTTTAGTTTTATGTTTACGAGTTCTGGGGGTTTTAATTCCATTTTTATCATTTTCCTTAGGAAAATTACCATTTCAGTCTTCTTAGGATTGATAGACAGTGAATGGTCCTTACATCACTGTTCTATAATTTTGAGAGCTACTTGCATTCTTTCGCAGAGTATGTTCTCAAAATTTCCTGTTTGCAGAATGCGTATGCTATTGTGTAGTGACTGTCATTATTGAGGAGGCTGATGAGAGTGTCGAGAACCATGTTCCACAGTAAAAGTGATAGCACCCCTCGCAATCAAGCCTCTTATATTCACATCTTCTACACTTATGTTTACTGCTCGCTTTAAGAGCATGTTATGTATCCACCCACTAACCATCTGTGGAACATTCCTGTTGGTTAGTGAGGTTACTATCTTGGGAAAGGTGGTTTTATCAAACACCAAAGGCGGACTCCTTATTGTCCAGGGATCTTTCTATCCGGCCAGTAACTAGATGAAGGGCTGAATCAGTAGATCTGCCTGGGGTGTATGCATGTTTGTTTTGGTGTATTGGTGTTGTTGTGATCACCGCATCCCTTATGTACCTTTCGCATATTTACCTATTATTATAAGCATAGCTTTTTTCTTCTCTGAATTTAGGCACGTTTATATATTTCTTTTTTAAGCACAATGTCGGTGGAACAACTTAAATTTTCTGATCCAGTATGAGCAAATTACATATTATAATTATAAATCTCTTCTGGAGTCTGGGCTACATTTACTAGAAGGTAAATTTTCCCAAAAGAAAATTATAAAATATTTGTAATATAATCTACCTAAGCCTATTTCAATATTTAAAAAAGAAATACAATCTGTTTTGTATTTTTGATAAAATTATTTTTACTAAATTAGCAGAGTGCGTTTGGCTTTCGCCATTTGCATTACTAATTTTCAGAAATTACAAGAAACTCGTTGGAGTAGTTTATATTTTCATTGTAGTAGTTTTTTTACAACCACATAGATATTAGCACAGACTACAAAACGAAAAAGTATGCTGTTGCGGTCAACTGAACGAATATTCCCAACTACAATTCTGCTAAACTGTTAATATATTTTTTAGATATTATGATTAAATATACATTAAAATGAGTTATTTTTGTGTAGAATCGATAAATATTAGCTTTTTTTAATTCTATTTGGTCTATATTTTGAAATTTGAAATTTACATTTTTATCAAACTACATGAAACTAATTTAATTACCAGAATTAAAACTAAAATTATAAAAGTGAGGGTAGAGGCGAGGACAGGTCGTCTACCTTTCACGCGATAAGATCAGGTTCAAATCTGGGCTGAAGACTAATTATGTTTATTTTATTTTATAATTTAGTAGAATTCATAAATTAGTTATTTATCCTAATAACCTAAAATATTTTTTTAAATTTGTATATTTTTGTTAATGGATCGTAGGGTAAACAAAACAATAAATAGTAATTTTTACTTTCCTATCTGTATACAGATATAAGGAAAGTATAGGAATCATGATTTTTTTCGACCTCGAGTTTTCGACGGATTTTTACGTTTTGAGATCCCCTGAATCAGTTTTGACTATTTTCGCGATGTGTGTGTGTGTGTGTGTGTGTGTGTGTGTGTGTGTGTGTGTGTGTGTGTGTGTGTGTGTGTGTGTGTGTGTGTGTGTGTGTGTGTGTGTGTGTGTGTGTGTGTGTGTGTGTGTGTGTGTGTGTGTGTGTGTGTGTGTGTGTGTGTGTGTGTGTGTGTGTGTGTGTGTGTGTGTGTGTGTGTGTGTGTGTGTGTGTGTGTGTGTGTGTGTGTGTGTGTGTGTGTGTGTGTGTGTGTGTGTGTGTGTGTGTGTGTGTGTGTGTGTGTGTGTGTGTGTGTGTGTGTGTGTGTGTGTGTGTGTGTGTGTGTGTGTGTGTGTGTGTGTGTGTGTGTGTGTGTGTGTGTGTGTGTGTGTGTGTGTGTGTGTGTGTGTGTGTGTGTGTGTGTGTGTGTGTGTGTGTGTGTGTGTGTGTGTGTGTGTGTGTGTGTGTGTGTGTGTGTGTGTGTGTGTGTGTGTGTGTGTGTGTGTGTGTGTGTGTGTGTGTGTGTGTGTGTGTGTGTGTGTGTGTGTGTGTGTGTGTGTGTGTGTGTGTGTGTGTGTGTGTGTGTGTGTGTGTGTGTGTGTGTGTGTGTGTGTGTGTGTGTGTGTGTGTGTGTGTGTGTGTGTGTGTGTGTGTGTGTGTGTGTGTGTGTGTGTGTGTGTGTGTGTGTGTGTGTGTGTGTGTGTGTGTGTGTGTGTGTGTGTGTGTGTGTGTGTGTGTGTGTGTGTGTGTGTGTGTGTGTGTGTGTGTGTGTGTGTGTGTGTGTGTGTGTGTGTGTGTGTGTGTGTGTGTGTGTGTGTGTGTGTGTGTGTGTGTGTGTGTGTGTGTGTGTGTGTGTGTGTGTGTGTGTGTGTGTGTGTGTGTGTGTGTGTGTGTGTGTGTGTGTGTGTGTATATTGCATAACTTATGAACCGATACACAGAAAAATACCAAATTTTAAACTTAAGCTTAGTTTCAGCGTCCAATGAGCTGGTTAGATTTTGGGCAGAGTCGGAACATCTGGGGGGGTACTTTATGGGTGGTCATTTTTATATTTTATGGAATATGAACTAAAAGTTGTTTGCGATATCGATCTCTTTAATTTTTGTTCATACATGATTTTTCTAAAATGGACCGTAATGGAAAATTACTAAATTTAAATTTTTCAGTATTTTCGTTTTCAATGAATATCTATAGAAAAATGTTTCGAGGTAGATGTATGTGGACAATGTATATATTTAGTTTATCCTCTAAACATTTATAGAGATGCTGCAATAGGTTGTACAAAATAACCGAAAAATGCCTATAATAACTAGATAGGAAAGTCATGTGTTGGACACATCAGATTTTTAGATTTACAGTTAATAAAATTTGTTAAAAAACGTACTAGAAACTCTAAAAAAATAAGCCCTGGGAATATAAAATCATAAAATGCGGTATTCGTAGTAACACATTACAGGCGCGCATGTGCATGCCGGCCCGTGAACATACAACAAGAAGAGGAAGCAGCAGCTTCTCGTAGGGAAAATATCAACCCATACCCGGCTACGTTGACTGGCATAGACTGCCTGGCCACAGTTGAAAGTGAAATGAAGGGTCTCGCATAACACATTCTCGTATTATCATCTACGCATGCGTAAGCATGTTTTATTACGAATATCGCCTCCTTAATGTCACACAAAATGTAGAAACAAAACTGACAAGTCCAGTGCTTGTTGAGAGTAGTTGACGTAGTTGTGAAGATAATAATCGTCATATGCTGCATTTGAATATGTACATCGGATGCATCTGTGATGTAAATCTTTAATCACCTGATTCAATATACATAAATATAGTAGGACAGATATGTCTGATGTGAACAAACAAACGCTCGAGATGTAAAAAGTGAATCGGATGTAGATATTCAAACGCAGCAATAGTTGTGATTAAATTTTGGCGCTGCTATTTAAAAAAGAAGAATCAAAGACCCAGGAAAAAGAGAAATTAATAGAAAAAAGGTAGATACTGGCTTCAAACATATCCAGACAGTAACTTTCATTTGTTTATTTGAGATTATACAAAGTAAAATTTATCAAATTTCTATCGCCACCCTGGATTTAAAAAGAAACTGAACGCAAATAATTTCTTGTACGACACGTATGATTCAAACTGTAGCATTTTAAATTGGATTGGTTGGTTTACTGTTGAACAACTGACCCTACTTAAAATGTGGTGTTATTATCTTCAGTTAGTCATTTTATTACACTAAAATTTATCTTTTATAGTTTGGAATATACGCTCATCCCCTTATGTTCGGAGACTGGCCACAAGTGGTAGTAGACCGAGTCAAAGCGAAGAGTGCAAACTTTACATCTTCCAGATTGCCAAGTTTTACAAAGGAGCAAAAAACTTCTATCAAAGGAACTTTAGATTTCATGGCTTTAAATTATTACGATACCAAAGTAGTGGCGGACTACCAAACAGCTGATACCTCGATCTCTTACGATAACGATGTTGGCGTTAATATTTCTGTGAAAGCTGACTGGTCTATAGCTGCAGACGGAAATACGGTAAGTCTAGTTATTTATAAGGATGTTCTAAACTGTTTGACGACAGGGTTTACAAGTCAATTTCTTTTTTAATGTAGGCTTCTACTAATTCATAGTTTGATTCACCAAGCTTCTTATAGTGTGAATAAAAGAGGAATGCAGTAAAAGTCGAGATATAACATAACATTCCATAGACGTACTTTGTAAAATAGGTTTCTATAATATAAATAAAGTCACGGCATATAAAATGGTATATACGAAATTCGTAGATTAAATTTTGAATGAAAAAAGTTATATTAGTTATAAAAAATAAAAATAAACCTTACGTTTCTGACAAAATTGTTGCATTTTAACTTTGAACAAATTAAATTTAACCAATAAATAACAAGGAGTTTTATATGTTGTTAATGGGATTAAACTTTTTTTAATCTTCTGGCATTAAAAGTAACCCTTCAGTACTTAAAATCAAAGATTTGAAAAATAAGTTTAAGAACTATCTTTAAAAGTCTTCGCTATAACTACTGATATCATTATCATTGTATTTTCTTTAACATGATCAATGCATTTTCTGCAATGTAATTTAGGGTAATTTAATTTAATTTAAATGTATTATTTCGGGAAACATAACCTTTTAATTGTGACCAGATCAGTTCAATCGGATTTAACTCTGGTAAGGGGGTAATTTGAGAATTTCAAATGCTTTTTCTCGGGCAATCTCGTCTATAATATATTTTTTGAATTTGATTTTATATTGCCTTGCTATAACGAGTAATTCTGCCTTCAAGGATTTATATAGGCGTTGTATGAAGAAATATAGTAGGGTAACCTTATGGACTTATCATTGGAGGACGATGGACATAGAATGTAGATGGCGATACTGTACTTATGTCCAAGTCAGGTCTTTAGGTCATGTCTGTGCTTGAGTATGAATTATAATTTAAAATCTTCTTTTTCATTTCTACTTGTCTTCGGTAATGTATTTTTATAGTTACAATTTACTATTTCAAATTATTACAAAAGCACAGAATACAGGGTATTTGAAGGTCACATAAAATGCGAAAATAATCGATATAATAAAATAAACCAGTTTTTGTTTGAAAAAGATTGAATTAGTTGAGATTGGGTGGAATTTTACTATAATAGGGAACATTTTTTTCTATATTGTGGTTGGATTTTGGATATATCGCTGATGGTTAATTAAACTTGAGTTGTACGCTGTTAATTTATATTCACTTTTATTTAATGGTATCATCAAATTAAGAATAGGACATGAACAACTGAATATTATTGTTCAAAATGAGACGAATAGACGAAAATAAAAAATGTTTGGATAAAATGTTCTGAAATACAGGATGTTAAGTTGAAAATTAAAAAAGTAATAATGGATAAATATATAGGTAGTTATAATTTTATTATTCAATATAATTTTACTAAAATCGGCACTGACAAAATTTAACTAACAGATTTTTTTGCTGTTAGGTAAACTTATAACATAATACCAAACACGTTTAGTGAAATTATACTAAGTAATAAAAACATGTAAGCCACTAATTTTCAGTTTTCAACTTTTGACACCATTTGAAAACGAATCGAGTACCAATTTATGGTAGGCACATTTAGGAGTATTATTTTTTGTACATGGAAATACTTTACTGCATGTCCTACAATGATGAAGCTCTCAACGAAGGCGTCTTAAAAAATAAATTATAGAAAATGCGAATGTTACATATTTGATTAGATAATTAACATTGACATAAACTTTCATTGCTCAGGACGTTAAGTGCTCAACTTTGGGTTTCGTAAAGATCAGTTACTGACTACTACTATTTTTTTCTGAACTGTTATCAAAATACTACAAAATTTAGCAGAAAGATTACATTAATTATATTTTTCATATTTTTTTCCAAAATAAGAAAGAATGTTTTTATATGTAATTGAATCTGGGTTGGGAAATCCAAACTTGAATGCTTAACGACTTAAGTCTTGAAGGCACTTATATCAAGTTAATTATCTAATCAAATATGTGACGTGGCTTTTTAAAATACCATCATTGTGCGCTCCACTGCGTGTCCATCTTCTACAAGAGAAAAAAGGAGGAAACATTTGTAAAGTTGCCTTGTACAAATGTGTACCAAAAGAGGGCAACTGGCTCTCGTAAGCCTTTTTCGTTTAATCGTCTCATTATTTTAACACTAAGCGCCAGCATGGGAAATATATATTAAAGTTAGTTTTAAGAACTTTTAACATTCAAATAAACAAAAACAATTTATAAATCTATTATTAAAATCCGTGTTGGAACAAAACATAAAATTGTTGAATTTGAAAGATAATATTCTAAAAATGGAAAGGATTTCGGTCGAGAGCCTATTGGACTGAATATTCAGTTTAAAATCGCTTTTCCGGCCTATATATCTTCAATTGTTTCAAAACGAATAAAATAAAGTAGTTCTGTCTAAAACTAAAATAAATTTCCTATCTCGAAGTACCCATCGATTATTTCCAAACTTTTCTTTAACGTCTTAGTTGTAAGTTTTATATTACATTTTCTTTAATTTGCTATTTCTGTGGAATCATTAATTTTCACTTGCATTATTGTTCTTCTAAAAAAGCGAAATGTGACTCACGTTTTGCTTGATTGGCTTTAATTTTTGAGATAGTCAACCAGTCAAAATAAAAAAAATTCAAAAAATAATAAGACATTAATTTATTTATTTAATCAGTTTTGTCTGAGCTAACTGAAAGGCTGTATTCTATAAACAATGAAAAAGAGTGATTGTTGTTTTGAACTACTTAAAACATTTTCACTCGAACGGCGTGCGTGATTCAATTTAAAAATACTTTCCAGAATAAAACCACGTGTTACAGTTTTGACTTCATTTATTACTAAACAGCCAAGTCATATACAAAAACGTTAATCCAAAATCTAAATTAAAAGTAATAACAAATAGCCTATCTACTAGGGTCGGTAACCAAACATATAAACAGAATGGGCGGATTTTGTTCATACTTAACATTATACTCGCGCACTGACACTTAACCTGGATTAAATATAACTGTAAATACAAATATTTTACAAACAAATATACTTTTCCAAACAGTGATAAATTATATAAAAAAAATGTTTTCTTATAAGATTTTCTTTTATGTTCAAAGTTAGGACTTTATAATTATTGTGTCGTTCATAGAATTCTGTACTAAATAAGAGCACTGATTTTGGAAATAAATTTTAACCATTTTGGCAAGTTGCTGAACCTTGTAACATTGCATAATGAAATATAAAGACTAACTGAATATGTCTGCCACAGATATACCATTGTAGGTCTATTGATTTCGTCTTGAGCTATTCCTAAAGAGTGGAGCTATTGAAAACTTCCTTTCAAGGTGATTTATTTCAACACTCAGAGCCAGCCGAGAGAACATTTTTTTCTTATATTCATGATCAACAGCCAAGATACATTTGAAAGTCGCTAATATATCCCTGTGACTATTTTTTTTTAATTTGTTTTCCAGTGTTGATTGATTTTCCTCTGATTAGTGTGATTTTCTTGTTCCTTAACTCAATATCTTGCAAACTGTTGATGGCTTTGAAGAAATTTTGTAGCAAAGCTTGTTCAAATTTTGAAAACTATAAAAATATTCAGCTATTTTTATGGTTATAAACTTTTCCAACACTTAGTCCAATTAGAGGTACTTAGATTACATGCAACATTTTCAGAAGCTTATTCCTTTTTTGTTTTCTACTTGGAACTTTTCAATTTATTTAAAACATTGGACATTGTTATAAGTTGTTATTAGGTATTCTTTGTTATTGTTTATATATTTTGACATAACCGCACATAACCAAAATATTGACCAAAGTCCTTAACCACTTTTTATCACCTTAATCCAAAAATTTTATTCGTACGGTTTTGTCAACTGGAATAAATTTTCATTATTATGTTTAATTTTTCATGTCTTTTATCATGAATTGTTATTTTTAAATAAATAAAGATGTTTTTAACTATAATAGGTAGGTGATAGAGGCCATGTGCCTGAACGAAAAGAAGACGTAGATGGCGTATCTGCATAGCATTAAAAATTGACTACTTCATTAAATCGTCACTAGATGTCGCTCGAGATTGCATCCAACACTTTTTACTGTTGCATTATCCTACTATATTATCTTCATACAACGATATAGGAGAACTGATTATATTTTTATAAAGCACCCTTTTCTCAAATATCTTTTTTTTCCATCTTATTGTAGGTAGTGACCCCTTTAATCGACTGTAATAGGATTCAAAACAATAACGGAGTTAGCTGGATTTTTTTATAATGTTCTAAAACCAATTTTCAAAAATATTTCTTTATGGTAGTCTTTTGTTTTCGAACATAAACGATCTGGCAAAAATCCATCGGTGCTTCCAAAGTGGGTTATTATTAAACGATTTTATGTTGGATTTATTAATCCACAAGAGACCCCTAAAGGCGAGTTTTTTAATTTTGATAGAGGTATCTTGCCAAATTTTGTTTCTGTATGTCCAGCATTAACCCATGTTTTATCTAAAAAAAATACCTGTTTATCCTAATTCCTTGCGTCTGCTATTTTCCTTAAATAATCACGCAATGATTTCGTCTTTCTCTGTTACAGAAGAAAAAAATAACACTTAACCTATCTATCTATCTGAATTAGGGCGTGTTTCAAAGCCCACTTGTACTGAAGCTCTAGGCTTATTGTATCCCTAACAGTTTCTATCCCATCAAAATGATTTTCTGGATGAATTCAAGAATATGTCTAATGGGCGCTTTCGCGATTTTTTCAGGTTCCAGATATTGTACCCCGAAGTACCATTCCCATTCCCATTTAAGGTCTCGGCAGTGGCATAGTATGTGAATAGGAGTTTCGTCCTCCTCTTCACATATTCTACATAGGGAGTCATCAGATATCCCTAAGAGATTTAGCTGTCTTCTAAGGCCACAGTGTCCCATAAGAAGTCCTATTACGGCCTTGAGTTCGCTGCTGCTAAGGTTTAGCAGTAGAT